AAGGCATCAATTAAGTACATTGTTGGGAGGTCCACATGATGTGTACGTGGTTGCTCAAGATGTCATAACCAGTACAACTAAAACCGTAAACTATTAATCAACTTGCTGTTGGAGAAACTTTTAAAATAAATAAAAGAAGACAATGGTTAGAAAATGGCATAAATAAAAAGATTTATTTTTATGTTAAAACTCTTTAAATAAAAGGCATATTTGTAAAGAGGTATTTTTTTAATAAAAAAAAACACTTATCATTTGTAAACAGCCTTGTTTTTATCTTTTTTAAAGAGAGAGTCTTATCTATAGAAAATAAAATTCTAATAGAGAGTAAATAGATTTCAATATGAAACAACACCCTGCTGTTATTAGAATAAAATTAATAGTCATCTTTTGTCCAATGAATATTACAGAAATTCTTATATGAAAATGATAGTTTTGCTAATTGAAATTGTGAGATTTAGTGGTTGGTTTCATCAATGTAAGGCATAATCAATATAATTTTATTGTATCTTGTAAGCATTTTTAGTTAACTCCCTTTGCATACCGAAATAGTAGGAGTAAAAATAATCTAAAGGAAAGTGACATTTGCAACACACTTTAAGGTAAATGATCTATTTTCTAATCCCAAGACGTACTCCAACACTTGCAAGGTTAGTTAGCCTTTTGAACAATTTGATATAATCAATTACATGTGGCTGACAGCGGCTTAACATAGATTTTAAAGAATAGGTGAATGAAGAAGCCTTGGTATAAACTAGTCTGGTTCTCAGACACTATACCTAAGCAATGTTTTATAAGTTGGCTTGCTATTATTGGCATATAAACTACAAAGGCTTGCCAGAAAAAAATAGACTCCCAGTATTTGTGGATGGAGAGGAATAGAAGGATTCACAAGCAGTTGTTCAAGACCCAAGCAGCTATAGTTGCTGACATCCAGTTTGAAGTCAGGAGCAAGATTCTTGGTTTTGCCTGTGCAAGGGCTTCCTCCAAACAATGTGAGAAATTAATTGTGGGCACACATGTTTGACAGTCCGTTTTTTACAGTTTATTTTCTGTAGCAGCATCATTGGCTGCATTGATGTACTCTTAATTCTCTTGGATAAATAAAATCGGATGCATTCCAGATAGAAATATCCTCAAGAAATATCAAAATTTAGAGAGGATGTTAAATAACAAAAACAAGCAGGTGTTTCGGATGGTTTTAAGGTATGAAATCGTTGAGAAATAGGAAGAGAAGCTTCAAGCTTCAGTTATATAGCTTCTGCCAAATTTTGCATGAATGAAACAAATTAGCATCAAGTAACTGCTTGACTTCATCCCTTGCATGCATGCTGCATCCGATAATGTGGGCAATCAAAACATGTTACAGATGAATGTGTTATAAAAAATATTGTAAGGAAGCAAAATACCATAAATCACAGACTTTGTTACTCCTTACTCGCAGACAATGTTTGTATTTAAATAATATTTATTTATTTATTTATTTTATCATATATGCTTTTACTTGTTTGAGATTCCAAGATCATCATAAAGCAGCACAGAGGAAAAAACATTAACTTTCCGACAATCTGATCAGAATTCTGATTCTTCCAATCGAGAGAAGAAGAGACCCGAAGGGCCACCATTTGGCAGCAATGCCAATCTCACAGGACCTTGAGCACCTTCGTCAACAGTCAAGACTCCAGTATTATAGGTTATATCAGTTTTGACATAGCCAGGGCAAACACAATTAATGCAGAGACTGGGGTGTTTCTTAGCCAAAATTCTTGTATAGGCATTCAGGGCAGCTTTGGAGAGAATATAGGCAGTCATAGAATCTGGCCATCCTCCAGCTTCTAGTGATCCCTCTTTAAAATCTGTCAGATATTTGTTCAACACTTCACCCACTCTTTCTTCTGTAGGTTTTCAGCATCACTTAAGATTGCTTTTGCCCATTCGTTTGATACATTCTGAAATAGAATCATGAAATGAACTTAATAGCTGTCAAGTGATTTAAGTCATGCCTGGAAAAAATGATAGCAAAAAACTTTTACCTTTAACTTTCCCAGGGAGGAAGAAACATTTACAATTCTTGGTGAATCAGATAACTGGAGGAGGGGAATAAATGTTTCAGACATCCTTTTGGCACCAAAGTAGTTTATTTTGTGGCATTCTTCGGCCAACTCGTATGTTTGAGTTACTATTTCACTCCAGTTGATATATTCATCCGCCTGATACTGAATTGATATAAGCAGAAAATTAAACTTTCTAATCCAGGCAGTTACTCTCAAAGAAAGGTGTATTGGAATAGTGTTTTTGTTTTCTATGTGGCAAAGAAATCAAAGGATTATATGTAGAAGATTTAC